GACGTGGACAGGCCGAGAAGGAAGTCCAAGCTCAGGACAACAATTACTTCGGGCTAGAACGATCTGTCAAGGGCAGAAGAAAGGGCGCAAGCTGAGGCGATCTCGTGACAACGAAAACGCGCAAGCAGCAGGAAAACCGGTAGTCGTTCCGCAAAGCAGGTAGGGTCAGTCAAAAATAGGAGAGCCGAGACGGCCAAAGAGTAAGTCTAAGGGAACGTCAACCCCGCAGGGAAAGACAGGCAGTCCCGCAGGGAAAGACGGGCAGTCCCGCAGGGAAAGACGGGCAGTCCCGCAGGGAAAGCGGGCCGTAAAGGGAGATTCGTCGAAGGCAAAGGTCATCAGAGAAGTGAAGGCGAGTGGAGGGCGGGGACATAGAAGAGAGCGGAAACCAGCCTGTCGAAGGAGCCATTTTCAGCCCGGAAACAACCGCGTAATTAGCACAAACCCACTCCGGAGGGCATCGAGAGAACGATGCTCCGAAGACGCGGCCTAACAGAAGGAAGCGGCGAAAGCGAAGAAATAATGAAATAGAATAGAGAGGGAAGGATCCAGGACAACGGAGCTGACAAAAGAAAATAGGACATAGATACAGAATGAGAGCAGGGACAGAAGAGATAAGTTCGGGACAAAAGAAAATAGGACAGATACAGAATGAGAGAGGGGACAGAAGAGATAAGTTCGGGAACGAGAAAGGACGGTGACGGCTCAAGAAAGGCGAAAAAAAGTGAGAGTGCTGAAAGGGTAGCAAGAGGCGCAAGAAGCGGAGAAAACACCGAAAATCCACACAGATGACCAATAGGCAGACAGCAGTATAATAGGGAAAAGTAGAAAGCAGGGATGCTGCAAGAGAGTGGAACAATAGCGAACGAGAAAGAAAGGCAGAGCAGAAGAGGGGACAACTGGAAAAGTAAGAAAAGACACAGAGAAGCGCAAGAGGAGAGAGGGACAGGAAAAGTGAGGGAGGAGACGAGGGACGGTAGGGCCAGCCGAGAGGGGACACGTGACAGAGTAGCCAGGCGGTGGGAAATGCGGGGGCGAGGCGAAGAGAACATGAAAGGCGGAAAGGAACGGCGAGGGAGGTAAAAATAGAGAAGGCAAACAGAAAGGTGCGCGGACAGTGGCAGTGAGGACAAGAGACTAAACCGAGGTACCAAGAAGACGGCGCACCTGGAAGAGAATGGCAATGGGGAGACGAACATAACGAGCGAAGATTGGAACGACGAGAGAAGACGAAAAAGCCGAGAGCCCAAAAAGATGACAAGGGCAAAACGGACAGAAGAGAGAAACTGCAGCAGGGAAGAAGAGAAATGGGAGTGAGAAAAAAAGTGGAGAGGGGAAAAGAAGGAAAAAGCGCAGCAAAAGATGAACGAAAGGTTTTCGGGGTGACCGGAGGAAGAAGGGAAAGGGTGAGAGCACCAGGACTTCCCAAGTGACGGAGAGGAAGGTGGAGAGACAACAAAGGCAGAAGATGGCGTGAACGACAAAGACGACGCAAACGGCAAGGGCAACAAGGATGACAAAAACGGCAAGAATAGTAAACAGGATCCAAAGAGGAAGACAAGGCTGAGAGAGAGAACGAGAGCGCGAATATGGCGGGATGCCGAGAACTGCAGGAAGACGACGACGAAAGAGTATGTGAAGATGAAGCGGGACGAAGGGCACGGAAACAGAAGTTGAATACGGTAAGGAGAGAAGAGGATGACAAGGCAGAACCGGACAACGATGAAAGAGAGACCAGCAGGATGACAGAGGGGAAGGATATGTGGAGAGCGGAAGAATACAGAGGATATGTGGAGGGCGGAAGAATACAGAGAGAAGAGGACCTAGCAGGCCCACTGGGAATACAGAGATCAGCAGGATGACAGAGGAGAACGCCTCACGGGGTCTAAAGGCGATCAAAAGAGAGCAGAGCAAAAGAGTACAACCTGATAAGAAAAGGCGGAGGAAGAGCCAAAGCAGATGGGTGCTACGAAAGGTGCACGACGGGGAAAGTGCGCAAGGAGGGGAAGGGCATGGGAGAGGGGGACAGAGCAAAACGGCACATCAAAGAAAAAGCAGAAGTGACAGGAAAAGAAGCAATAGAAATAATCGCGGAGGCGAGAGGGACGCTACGGCAAGGGAGAGAAATGAGGCGGCACGCAAAATAACAAGAGGGGGGGGGGGGACGGAGCAACAGCTAAGGGAAAAGAGCGGCAACGGACAGAAGAGAGAGACTGCAGCAGGGAAGAAGAGAAATGAGCGAGAGAAAAAATGGAGGGGGGGGAAGAAGGAAAAAGCGCAGCAAAAGACGAACGAAAGGGTTTGGGAGTGACCGGAGGAAGAAGGGAAAGGGTGAGAGCACCAGGACTTCCAAGTGACGGAGAGGAGCAACAAAAGAAGGCGGAGGCAGAGAATGGAAGTAGAGTACCAAGTAGAAAACGAAGTAGTGAACGCATTAAAGCCTCAAAAAAGATAAAAAAGTAACACGGACACACTGGAGACTCGACTAATCAACTGACCTTGGAATTGCCGATGCTCGTACCAAATATGAAAAGAGTGTGATGACAGAAGAGACAATGGGCATTGCCTCACACACTAGAAATCAAGTGTGCAAAATGAGAATGAGTCCCCCGCTAGGACCTGGAAAGCTCCACCCGCCATATAATTTTCTTTTTCCACATTTGCTTGGTGGGTGCGGCCAGACCCAACGCCTGCTGACGCGGCAACCAAAGCCGGATACAGCCCAGGGAAGGCAACAAATCGATCTCTATTAAATTACCACATCAATTCAAATTGCAAGGACGACTACCCAGACTCCTGTTTGGCACTGTTCGATGAGATACATAGAATTTAAAGGGGGAAAAGGCTGTCATAGGAACGAGAGGCGGCACTAAAGAAGAACTTCACCGTTCTTGGATATGGATCACTCACAAAACAGGTCTAAAGCAACTTATCAGCATGGGAACGAGAGGCGGCACTAAAGAAGAGGAACATCAAGAATGACATGTCGATGATATGCCCGCAATGTTAGATAGTATGATACGGTCAACACACAAGAGGGAACGAGAGGAGCCAGAAGGCGGCCTAAAAACTTTCCTCCAACATAAAAATGTGTTCCTCCATACTCGCCTGCTCGACCAGATGGCGGTTGGTTGGATACCCCAATCGCAACGTAATAAAAGACAACTGAATTACGATAACAACGATGATTGAGGGAGGCAAGAAGACCACAATAGGTGCAATAGACGGAGCCAAGCGAACAATATATAGACAACGGAAAATCGAAGACAACTATAGAGCACAAAATAGCACTCAAAAACAGTGCCTCGCGCAGCAATATATAAGCAGCGGGCACGATAAAAGAAACTAACATATTCCGCCCGATAAACAAAGATAACCTCACCATCACCTGCGCATAAAAAACCCTAACTGAACAAAAAGCGCCTGGTGAATCATAAACCCTACGGTAGGGGTGTCCATGTCTGGGCATGTGTGAGTACATAATTAAGAACACAACCACGATCGACACGACAGCAGACACTAACACCCTCCCAAATCTGCCATCAACTTCATAATGACAGCTTATAAATAGATCATCGCAGTAAACCACTTCCCATCGCAGTCGACCCTTCCCTAGACCCCTGCCGGTATCTCTCCCAGCCCCTCGTTGGGGAACCTCCCTCATGTCTCTCTCTCTCTCTCTCTCTCTCTCTCTCTCTCCAGCTCACTCCTTTTCTGTCAATCCATTATTACTTCCCTTCACCTTGCCCTCGTCCTGCCTCACCTGCGGCCCACGGTACACGGCACTTCGATATCACGCATGTCCACGCCGCTAGGTACACGTACCCCCCCCGCGTCCGTTCCTCCACATGCCCCTATCTTCCTCTCCTACCAACTTTCCCTTCTCTTATACCTTCCTCGTCTTTCCTTTCTCCCTTTTCGACTTCATCTCTCCCCCCAAATGTCCAGGCCGCGTGGTAAATGCACTTCACCACGCGCCTCCGTCCCCACATTCCCCTACCCTATCGCCTCCCCCCCATCCCAACTTCATGTCCTCTTTGGTCGTCCTTCTCCTCCCGATCTCCACTAGCCGCTTGATTCGTTTCATACCCTCCGTCTTTTCCCGACACCCTCACCCTTCCAGCCATGTTCGTTCCCTTTCCATCACACCGCACACCTTCCGCGCCGTTCTGCTCATTTCACTCGTCACTGTTCGTGTTTCCTCTTTTACCCTACCTCTCCGCTCAACTTGCTTTCCCAACGACATCAACTCCCATTCTATCCTTACCGCATCTCTTCGTCCCCATTTTTTTCACCCCTCCCTTGATCTTCTACGGTTGCCACCACTCTTCTCGTCCCCCCTTCCCCCCGAGTCTCCTTCCCCGACCGGCGCTCTCACAACTCTCGCCTCAATTTCTCGACTCCGCCTCGCCACCCCCCTCACCTCTCTCTCTCTCTCTCTCTCTCTCTCTCTCTCTCTCTCTCTCTCTCTCTCTCTCTCTCTCTCTCTCTCTCTC